GTAATTCCACATAGTACACTATCTAGAGGCGTTCTCCAAACGTGCTTGAACAAACTCTTGTGTCTAATCATTCATTAGTAACTTACAGCACTACAGCTGATCAGCACTCTTAAAATATATTCATTAATACTAGAAAGAATTTCAGAAGAATTTTTTTCTAAATTTTCTGTGAGCAAAAAGGATTTTAGAATAACATTTTGAGTTATATTCACAAATTATTTATTAAAGCAGTTTGCTAGTTAAGGACCTCCCCCTGCTCATGATGAAGTTAAAAGAAATTTTGCACTGATTGAAATAGGAACAAGATCAAACCAGTAAAATCCTACTATGCTTTGTCTATACAGTGAAATAATAACAAAACGCAATGTCTAATAAAAGAAGTGAGAATAGTAATACTAAAATTTTGCATCTTTATGGCATTTATTGTCCCAGAAGAGTCCCGGTGTAAAGCTAGTAAATAATAACTTCCTTATCCGTCTGAAATCTCAGTGAGAGTTTTAGGTACACAGAGCGGAATTACCAGAGCTGGAACAGTCCCAAGGCAGCAGGGCTAACATCTGTTCCCATGGAAAATAAAACAGGAACTATAATACCCTCCAGCTCTCAGGAATTCAGTTTTATACCATTTCTAAAATATGTTATCTCTAAAATCATAGTGGTTTTTAAGTTTAGAGTCATGATTGAAAGGCATTCACATCTCAAACTTTAAGCTAACTCAGGTTCTTCTGCAGTGCTCTCATCTAGGAGGGAAGGGAGATAAATCAGAGGTAGGTCTGAGGAAAGAGTTTGCAGACTGAGGCTGATGCAGGATAACTAACCTTGCTGCTCCAACCACTGTGCATACCGAGAGAATATGCTGCAACTGAAGGCTGTATTATGTTTGGTGAGTGTCATCCCCAAGCCACTGGGCAGCTGAGGGTTTGGACGTATCCATGGAAGATGTCTTTGCTTGTCATTTCAAATGGAGACGCAGCAGGTAGAAGCAGTAGCATCCCTAAATTTGCCATACATCTACAGATTTTTGCCTAAACGTCATCTGCAAAAACTCACCTGGAAGCACGGTTCAGCTGTGCCTGTGCCAGCCTGTACTTCTTTGATTCACACACCATCTGCCATAAAAGAGCCTAGCTGGCTCTTCAGAACCGTCATGCTCCATCTAGTAAACACTTACATGGCCCATCTAGTAAACACATGGCCCACACATATATGTCTATATCTGGACATATTTCTACGGAATGAATATAATCTGTTAGTGATCTGCTCTTCAACAAGGACAGTAAAATCAGTTTCAAGAAAACCACAGTCAGGTGAGAAGATGTTTATTAAGCTCTATGCACTGTAAAACAAATCAGAACAAGAACAAGAGGCACTGGAGGCTGGAAATTCAGCACTGCTCAGTGATGCAGATTATATGAAAGCCTTCCAGGAATTCTTTTCCTTTCCCATTATATTCTCCTAAATACACCTTTTCCTGCAGTCTTCCTTTCCAGACTCATTGTTGTTAAAAAAAGGGGGCGGGGCGGGGGGGGGCATGTAGGGACACAGCTATGGATTGAATTCCTCTCTCAGGGGCTCCCCATCCAGATCCCAGGCCCTAACGACTCTTCGTCTGTCCCCTCTGCACTCAAGACATTTCTCTCTTGGGGAAGGAGCAGTCTTCCTTTACAGGCAATAATACTTGAAAGGGGCTTGAAATAATTTTAGCCTTCGCCATATAATCCTAGCATTCAAGACAGTTGTTTGCTAGGCTACTGTATTAATTGACACATTACGTGCTACCAGAACTACCAAGAACTGCATCTGTCCCAGAGCAGTTAAAACACCTGAGACTTTCCCTTCTCCATCACTCTTCATTTTCCTTCTGCACCTCCTTTAACAGCAATGTTCTAGTCCTTCCTCGGGAGGCTACAGCTGCAGTTTCAGTGAAAGAAATGGCTACATTTCACAAACAGAAAATTAGAAATTTGCAACATTGTCAGTACCACACACCTTGCACCACTTTTCTCATTTTGGTTTATAATTGCAGGAGAGACTCTGTCAAAACTGTTCTTATAGCATATATTGCAAATCCTTAACTCTTTTCCATAGGCTTGTATATGGAGAACAGAGACATGTTGTGCATATCCTCTTGCTGATATGGGATCATCACCAGAGGTCCACACTGATGTGTCACCTGCCTTTGATCATAAGATACTGACATGGTTTGAAGCCACGGTATAGGTGGAAGGAGCTACTCCAGGTTTTCTATTATTTTTCTGAGATGATATTTCATTGATACACTTACTGCAGGAGGATCACTTCTCCATGAGTGTCTGTAAGATTTTATCCTGTCACCCTTTTTCAATAGGCATATGAACAACATTTCCTATCTCTTGTCAAAAAGAACTTGGTGAAGCAAGGTACAGAGCTTTACTGTAATGAAAAAAGGTACATAACATTTTTCCTTCTTTTTCTACTACATGCTGGAGGGGTGGCAAAGGAACACCTTATCTACCTAGTAGTTCTGTCTAAATAGAACACAAAAGGCCATCTAACCATCAGGAAAAACAACCTCCTACTTACGCAAGAGATATCAGAACCTGTAGTTCCTATGTTGCTTGTCCAGCTTGTCCTATAGATTGTCCCCTCTTTCAGTATCTTTTTTTTTCAAATGGCCCTCTATACCAACCTCAGATAAAAACAACTGGCAGAGGAAGAAACTGTTTTGAAAACTCTTTAAAACCACTGATACCCTCTCCCAGCTTAACTGCTGATATGGAGCAGGACAGAGCTTCCAAATTTGGTAATTTTTTTTTCTGTAGTCTTTCATCATTCAACTTCAAAGAATGTAGAAAAGAAAAACAGAACAAGAGAAAACCTTCACTAGAGCTTTGTTACTTTATTATTTGTAGGGACTTCCACTCTTTGTGCCCAAAATCGCAACAAAGCAGCTTCTAGGGCATATTATGTATTATGTTCAACACTGTCTAGATACAGACAAAATTAAATATAGAGCAGAGGAAGCTAAGAGATGTTAACCAGATCTTAGAAAATGTTTCACTAGCTTTTCTGTAAATGTATGTTGTTCATTTATTTTCATCATATATCCACCTATTAGAATGACAGATGCAGTAATAAGTGTTCTACAACTTTAGACTAAAGCCTTTTTTATTTGCCACCTACTATATCTATTAAATTGTCAGCTGCTGATTAGCTTGAGGGCTAATCTTGAAATGTCACAGTTAATCTCAGTTCTCACTTTAAAAAGTTAGGATTTCCTTCTGTATGCAGTTTTACATTGTTGGCAGATGAAAACATTTGCACTGAATTTTCCTAATGAGCAAACATTATTTATGACCCTATGCAAACTTGCTGATGGCTTACCTTAGCACCTCTCTATTTTGAGGAGTCTCCTAAATGAATTGGCCATATGGAGAGCAAATTATTTCACCAACCCACTGTACTGCTCTCAGTTGCTGATCTGTGTTGGATAGTGCACTGGAAGTCAGGAGGGAGTAAGGAAGTAAGAGATTCACCACGTTTATCTCCACTGGGGGAAGATCAGATTCAAGGTTCAGAAAACCCAAAAAGAGATGTAGGAGGTCTTGCACATAGCCAGACCCCAAGTATTTTTCTTTCTTGTGCTATACAAGAAACCCTGTAACAGGAAGCAAGTTCTGAAAAATCAAAAGGAAACACAAGGCATTAAGTTCAGAGTAGTTCACGTTAATAACCCATGGGGTCAGATGTGGAAAAAACTGAGATCTGCCAACAGTCAGGTGGGTTGTGAGAACGTGTGTGCGTATACATATACACGTCGTTTCCTGACTATGCATTTTGCTAGCTTATTGAACTCTCTCAAATCACCCAATTATGGATAATGGCCAAATGCAAATTTTCAAATGCTCAAAATTAAGACCAAGCCAAATTCGATGGAACATTCAAAAGTATTTCTCAGGAACAGGTATCTTTGTAGTGTTAGGTATTCCACTGCACGCTAAACTTCCACCCACCTTTATAAAATGAAACATACTGTTAAAGCACTATTCTAGATTAACAAGAAGCTACTTTATTAAAATTTCTGCCCTCCCCCAATACTTTTACTATCTGTCCTACCTCATTCATGCCAACAAAGAAAATTTGCTTCCAGGTATAAATAGCTCTTGAGGCTTAATTCAGAACTGTTCATGCAAAATCAACTTCGCGGATCAATGCCACTACTGAAATGTTTGTTAGACCCCCATATTAAGCATAAGTTCACTCTGCTGAAGTCCACACTGATTCCATCTGATTCTCTGCCAAGGCCAACGTATTCCTTAAGTCTTAGGGTATGTTATTTTTCCAGGATGACATGAAATAAATACTTTCTCCCTGTTCCTATTCTGATGTTAAGACCTTCTATATTTCTGAGATTCCTGTACAGCACAGTGGCTGCTGAAGCCTGGAAAGTGGAGGCAAGCTGCTAAAATCAATCTTCAGAAATAATCAGCATCAAAATACAAAATGAACTTCATATCAATAAGCATTTTTCCAGTTATGAAACATGACTGGATCCATTTAAATGCAGGATGCCAGGGACAGACTTGAAAGCTATTTCATGGCTGTGGTTTCAATTGTGCAGCAGCTACTGTGATGGAATTTTATCCTACTGTGTTAGAGTCTCTGGCTGACATAAAAGGAAAGACAACACCATATTTAATTTTCTCTCTCCTCCACTGTAATTCTTTTTCCATTACACACAAATAATAGAAGGCCATAAGGATAAGAAATAAATTAACATTTCTGAAGCCTGATTTATAATCACAGATAATAGCAATAAACTGAAGCAGCAGAATACCCTACTACAACAGTTACAGGACTTCAGGCATAAACCAGAGAGAATGGTAACATTCATGACATCACATCAGTGACAAAGGTGAAGCGATTAGAAAATTAGAAGAAAGCATTTTTAAAAATAATGTCATGTTTTGCATAAAAAATAAATTAAAAATTATCTCCAACACTCGCTGTATTTTTCTCACCACCTGGCTACCCCATGGAACCAATGCAACTTTCACCATACCGAGAACAAATACGGTATTTAATATCTTTCCAAGTATAACCAACATTTTTCTGCTAACAAATATAAACGTTGTAGTTGTAAGGTACTATGTAACCATCCATAGTCTTTACAAAGAGGAAAAAAAAAAGGGAAAAAATGACTAAAACAAAATTATTCTGTTTTCTAGATGGATTTTGATTCAGTATGCACTAAATGTGACTCAGTATCCTGAGAAGACAAAACTAATTCTTCACTAATTATCAAGTCTACAAGTTATACTATGGTAGTATTACACAAAATAAAGTTAGACTTTTCTTTTTTTTTTTTTTTTTTAATCCTTTGGGCAAACAATCTTGCTTTAGGAGAATTATTCTAGCTCTGTGGAAAATTCTCTTTGGCTTCCACACATACATGAAGGTATTTTATAGGTAGTATGCTATAAACTGTTATGTAATTGAAATGCAGATATATAGATATCCCAGATACATATTTTGTTCCCATCATTTTATCACTCTGTACTGATTCAAAGTAGTAACACTTCAACAGAGACTTCAGTAGATTCTCCAACTCTAAATTACCAGAGCCACTCCAGTGGCTCTACCAACTACATAAGGGGACTCCTCAGACATCTAAACTGTGTCAAAATAAATTGTGTGAGTACTTATTTTCTTATCTTTCATTTTCTGACACTTAGGTTATCAGAAAAAATGTCTACTATTTGAGAAGAGGGATATCTTTAGCAAGGAAACAGGTATCTGGTAGTTTATTAATCATTAAGGTGGCAGGGTTGCATTCAGTTTACAAAAATGGCTTTATCTGGATTAAGAAAAGTGGAAAAAATTGTCCAAAATCCTTTAAGAGTCCTTTTTGTTTCAATAACTTTCCCATTAAAAAATAAGTAAGTGCGCTGATAAGCAAGGAATTAGAAAAATGTAAACCATGAAAACCAAGCTAGTCCCAAATCAAAAGGACTCCTATCCTGAAAGCTGGTCCGGATGCAGATGGACCATTCTAACCACACAATGCCTTACTTGATTTGAAAAAGGCCAACATCAGGGGATCTGGCTTCAGAATTAGGACATTCAGATTAACAAAACTGTAGGAACATCCCTGCAGGTCTTTTGTTTGTTTGTATTGCATTTCTCATCACAAAGTCCTTTTGCACCTGTAAAGCAGTATCCATTTTACCTTTGAAAAAGTGTAGCAGATAGCTATATTACAGTTTTCTGATAAAACACCAAATGCGTGTTTCCTTGCTCTATATTCAAAATACATGAGAAAATTATATGGTAATAAACATGACTTTAAGTCAGATAAGCATGAAGGAAAAATAACAGAAGGAACCATTTTGTTAAGAGAAAAAAAAGATCCAGAAAAAGAGCAGAACCTTCAGGAATGTTTAAGGAATAGCTATAATTTTCTTTCCAATAGATTTCTGACAGTAGAATTAGAATAAATACCATCTATGGACTGAGTTTCTGATGCACAAAAAGAGGATTAGTCCTGTCAACTCTTTGGGCAATAGCCTAAACTGTTTTCTAAATGTTGTCTCCTAGAAAAAAAAAAGGTCAGAAAAAAGAACAGAAAATTGAAAGAATGACATTCTGTATAATCAGGAACTACCACACTTCACTCCCAGCAAGTCTTTTCAAAATTTTTTTAAAAATTCCACAGAAAACACTGCTCAACAGTGATTATATTTTTTGTGGTTTACTATAAATAATTTCAAAGAAAATGAAAATTGGGTAAAGGGATTTATTATTTATGACATGACAATGTTTCTGATATCATCTTCACAGAAAGCGTAAAGAAAGATGATGCTTCTTAATAGATTTTGCAATTTTAGATTCTTGTTTACAGCTTCTTTCTACCTTCTCCTCTTACCTAATAATTAACAACTTATTTTACTATATCGTTGGATGAGTTTTTGAAGATTGATCAGATTTAGTCCTTCCTTTTATTTCTTTTTTTTTTTTTTCAGAAACTCATTTTGTATTTGGCATAGATACTTTAGAGTAAATAAATGTCCTTTTCCTGTTTAGAATAATTTTTTGAAAATAAATTGCAAAAAATTTTATACTAAAATACTTTTTCTGGAAACAAATATTAAAATGAGATTTGGCACTCCAAGACCTAAAACTTATGTTCCAGTGAAAGTTTTAAATTAGGTCACAAATTTATTAGACTGAAGAATATAAAGTTTAAAAATATTTCTGCTAAGAATTAATCTGCTCCTTCAACTTCCTGAACAGTTCAATTCAAAACTTATAATACCTACTATAAAACTCTTCTTCTTCACACTGTCTGGAAAAACTTGAGTGTTGTTTGTTCTAATTATATCCTAAGGAAGTGTAGCTGCTATAGATTTTCTTCCCTCCATATTTTACTGATTAAAATGTTTTTGTGAATGTATCATAGGAACACGAAGCATGATCCTTGCAAATACCAGATTTGGGCTATGCATTGTCACAATGACTTGGTAGTCCAATCTTAAAGAGAAACGTTTTACGAAGCGCCTCAGACAAGCATCCCTAAAGGGATGCAGTTCATACGTGAGGTTTTGCTGGTGTCTGAAACTAATAAAAAAGAGCCTTCTTCACCTTAGAGGTTTGGGATTTTTTTGGGGGGGAGGTGAGCAGTGAACGGCAATTGAGCAGTGCTAATGAAATCTATCAATTTTACCATAATCGGCTGTCAAGACTAAACAGCAGGCAAAAAGGCTAAGACAGGGAAAGAAAAAAAAAGGAACTACATAGCAATATACAATTTCAACCACATTGAGAGATGCTGTACTTGGAATAACTCAGGACAGAGACGTCTGAGTCCCTGCAGAGTCTGGTTCATAGCTGCTACTGACCGGAAGTTTTATCAAAAATCCAGTCCTGCTATGGATGCAATGGGGTACCCCATAACTGCACAATTCTTCTACTGAAACCTTCAGTCAAATTCAGTGTAAAAAGAAAGCAAAATTCATATTTTACAAGCAACTAGATTCTAGTATTGTCTTGCCATATGATTGTTTTTTACTTACAAATCCTAAATTAGTTTCAATTGTACTGTGATACAAAATATAGGCTTCTTCAGCAATTAACAAGGACACCAAAAAGTTGAGCCTGCACTCATTGTTGATGTCCATATGTAGGCATTTCCTCCTTGAACAAATTTGTGACACGTATGACAACCTTAGTTCTGCTACATCAACCTGTTTTGAGGTTAACTGGTATTCAAGACAATTTAAATTAACTTGGGGACAGAATCTGACAAGCTACTGCACGGTGGCAGAAATGTTGCCAACCTTCTGCATGCTCTTGCTGCAAGGAGGTGCCTAAAAGCACTCCCTCTGTGCACCGCTGAAATTACACATTTGATTTCCTTATCTTGCCGTGTTGCAGCCTAAGTACACTGCTTAACAAAGTGCATTCCAGTAGGTTTCTCATTTGCTACTATCGGAAACTGTGAAAACCATTCTCCCCGAAATGGAGTCTGCTCATCTCTCTTGGTGAAGGAGTATGGCTCTGCACACTCCTGAACATATATGCACCATTAACTTCTGATTGACATTGCCTCAGATACAATTAAGTAATTAAGAAGTTTTAGGGCCACACTCCTATTGCCTGTTTTACTCTGTTAAAAACTAAAAGCAATGTCAATAAAAAAAAAAAAAATACTATGAATTTGCAATGGTGCAATTGAAAAGAGAATGAGGTTATTACTATATGTGACCAGTTGTTCTTAAGTCATAGTCAACATGCTTTGTACTTGACTGTAAAAAAATACAAATTATAAATAAACTTAAATGGCAACTGAAGTATGTTGTAAGAATATCTAGGATGTACAGCACTGGAGCTGGAGACATTAGTGTACTATAATCTATTATCAAAAATAAATGGTGGAGGGAAATAGGAGGTATTTTCAGATCGCATTCCAGCTACTCCTCAGCTGCTAAAACAGTCACTTAAAAGGTCACTGCAGCTTGCAACACTTGTGGTTCCCTTGAGACCATACTGAGTTGTTAATTCAGATGACATCCATACTTAAAAATCTGATAACCGAGGAACTGTACAGAGTCATCACTTGGCATCAGAATACAGGTAATGAGCAAGAGTCTCAAGGCAACCACACTAATTTTTAAGATAAAGTAGAACCGTGGAAGCTCTGAAGATACAAGAAATACACAACTGTGTTTCTTTTTCAAGAGTATTTAAAATTTAATGCTTGCTTTAGCTACTGACTTAAAATCACAAGCCTCCTCCACCCCACAGGTATCTGGTTGGGACTTACCGTTACTCCAAAGAAGTTGGTTTCATTCATAGCATCCAAAAAAATTTTGCCAAGTTTGTGATTTGTATAGTTAAAATCTTCAATTTTTTGGTGCTTATTGGTGGCATTGAGATACTTCATTGCCCGCTGCAGAGTCTTGGCAATCACCCATATTCCGTCATAGGCATAACCATGAAATTTGCTGGATTGTCCATCACCACGCTTAGCATTGTATTCCTTTTCATATTGCTGTGGAGTCTGCAGAGGAGAAAAACTTCAGGTTTACTTCAAAACTTAACATTTTACACATTTGGGTCCAAACCTACACCTTGAACCGCACTCTCCGATTTAGAGACATGCATCACTAATACAGAAAAGACCGCCAAAACAAACATCAAGGAAAAAGCATGTGCTGCCTGACTTACAAGACTGATGGTGAGACTGGGTGGGAGACCTAGCAGTCAGAGAGACTGAAAAGCAGTTGCTTCTCTGTATGAAAGACAACTTGCTTTATTTTGCTTTCATACAAAAGGTTTCAGTTCAACCAAAACTACCAGCACACTGGTGAACCACAATGTTAGAACAGAGAGTAAGTCAGTATCCCTGCAAATTAGTGATCCGATTACACTTTCTAGGATAATGCAGATGACTTGAGCAACTATTTGCTTAAAGTGAAATTGAGTGGCAATTTGTCTATGTTTTACAAGTTTACTATGCTCTTTATGGTGTGCTATCTTATGATGAGTTGCCTTTTTGTAAAGTTGCCTTTCAGGCTCACTCAGCAAGGCATGAAAGACAGATGAAAAAATATGAAAAGCAGCAAAATCAGCATGTTTATTCATTGGCCAGAGTTTGCATGCATTTGTTTTGTGATAAAATACTATGTACTTTATGGAAATACCACATATTTACATATTTAAAACAAGCCCCGCCCCCTAGTTATGAGAGGTACAAATCACCAATGAAATTAGCCATTTGCAGGATTAGGGTTAAACGTAAAAGTTTTCTGTTTCTGTGCTCAACTATTTAACTTGACATGACGCAGCATGTGATACTGCAGACTATAATTCAAGCTTTACTGTACATTTAACGGTAATGTTCATACAGGGGGAACAGAAGAGATTTGAGGCAAGGGACTTTATTGCTTCCTTACCCTGTAGAGAATTGGAGCTGATTTCTAAATATTTAAAAATTGCAGACCAGTGGAAAGATGAGAATAACCATGATGACTGCCAGCTCTCTCTGCAGAACCCTTTAGCTTCACCTCTCTCCTCTGTGCTTTGCAGTGTCAAGACACTGGTGAGACAACTGATTGTATATATATATCTATAAAAAATAAAATAGTTGAAGGAAAAGTACTAACCCTTCCTGATATGGTCTTTAACATTTTTGAGCTGAGAGGCTCAAAATCCACTCCAATATAACCTTCCATGGCTGCAAGAAGATTTTTGCTGAGACATTGTGAGGAATTAATCCAGGATTCCCACCAAAGATTTTCATACCACCCTGGAATAATCCATTGGTACTTGCTGCCATACATTTCTTCATCATAAGCCTACAAAGAAAGAAACGTAGAAAAGCTAATAGACATTGTCATAGACATATTGAACATAAAAATAATTGTTTTCTGTTCATGTTTTTTTCCATTATTAATGACATTATGGCATAACTGAAGGATATACGAGTATTTTGAACAGTTTAGAATAATTACTTGCCAACACTAAAGACTCCTTTCTTGAAGATTCCTGTCTCTAAAATTCAGGTCACAAGAAGAGACAAAATATTTTGCTTTCAGTAGATCATTTATTCAAACAGAAAAATAAAATACTGAATTCTAAAACCGGGGAGAGATTAAGAGGAACGCTGGCAGAAGGCACAGCATTTGCCTAAAAAATTCTCCATAACACAACTATTACATGAGTGGTAGGACCAGCATGTTATCACATTTAAACTAAATTATTGTCATCCTAGTATCATCCTAAAGACCACATAAAACAGGATAAGGTTAAACAAGAAAACTTGGATCCTAGGCACCATCAAATCACAATGTTGCAAATAAAAATTATGTGACTGTGCTAAAACGGAGACCACAGGGACATTAAGTAAGCAGTTTCTTCTGAGGAGCATTAACCAATAGTAAATTGATAAAGCAAGCAAATCTCAGTGATTTCTTTGTTTTTTCAGCAAGAAATTTCTTCAGGTGAAATTTTATGTTGTTTGAATACTGAATACAGCCCAATATACTCCAAGATACTGAGATGATGGTTATCTCCTTCCAATACATAGCAGATACATATAACAGGAAAGAGAAATACTTTATTAGTCAGGCACATATGCTGTTGTGCCTAAAAGCTGATCTATTCACAACAGATACTCTATTCCATTGTGTGGAACTGTTCTAGGATAATATTAGCAAATTTTATCTCAGATGTTTCTCTCACTATCTTGTAACTAGATATTTTTCTTTTGACATTTCAGTCAGACTCTATTTCAAAACAGCAGGTTTCATGCTTCTTTGGCTCCTAATATAAGCAATACTGGAGATACAAGACATACTTATAAGATAAAAATTCCAATTTTTAGAAATACATGATGCAACCTTAGAGTTTTTAACTGGAAAACTGCTACACCTTCCCAGAAAATGTTACAGAAGGAGGAAATTATGAGAATGTAAACAGGACATATTAGTCATTCAGAACATAACCATTTTGAAAAGTATCCCAAAGATCATACCAAAAGCCTAGCAGAAAAATAAAGATGAATAGCAAAAAATACGAAATAGAACAGCCTTCTAAATACGTTAATACCCAAATTAAAATTGAGCTTTAAATCTGTGAAGGCTATTATAATGGTGTCAACTCGGTTCATAAATGTATTGTGCACAAAGCAGATTTGTTTGGCCCCTGGTTGCAGGAGCTTTTGTTCAGCCAAAATCAAATTTCATGCATTTGTATACAGTGCTGCTTGAAAGCGCTCCTGTCTGAAAGCCAGTGTCTTGCATCTCATATCTTACTTATTCCACAATCCACATAAATTGCTTGTCTTTCTCTTGCTCATTAATTCTGCCCTTCCAGAAACACATCTGCTTTTGCCCTCCTGCCCGTCTCCACTCCTCCTACAGCTGTGGCAACACTGCATCCCAGGTCCACCTGTGAGGAAAATAGCAATCCCATCCTGCAACACTTTCTGATGTCTAAAAGAGTTTCCATTACACAGTGAGGTCATTCAAGACCTTTCAGTGATATAGTGTCTTTTATTTGACAGTTTTCAAATCACTGAGGACACAAATTAACCCAGAATAGTGCTTTTAGAGAAGGACAATGATCAGTAGCTTCCCCTGCTCTAAACAGATTAAATATCAAATTGTGTGTTGCAAGAAAGTATTGGCTATGAACTATTCTGAAATTGAAGCTGTTGGAATTTTTGTGCTTACACTTGAGCCTGTTTCCTGCATAATCTGTAAATGTTCTGGGATATGGGCTGAAAATTAAAGGTTTCAAAATAGCCACAAGTTCCATCCTGGAGACAAGGGATCATTCCCAAGGTTGCACTGAAACTTTCACATTCCTGCAAGAATTTGGTTACATGTCTAGATTTTGCTTTAAAAAACAAAACTCAAACACTTTAAGAGCTGGCAACTCTTCATTCAAGATCTGGTGGAATGGTGGAGTTTGAAGGGTAATCTGAGGAAGGCAAGAGAAGGAGGAACAAAATCAGCTCCTCCAAAGCTGAGCACCTTGACCATGCAGTCATTTTTCTAGTGACAGCACAGTTGTTAGTGTTCAGGCATTTCAGTGTTTGGGTTCCAGGAGACTTATTTCAAAATAATGCTTTCTACCACTGTTTCCTCCCTGTTGATTCTGCTAAATGGAGATGATTTTGATGCTTAAAAGATACATTTCCTTGAAATATGCAGATCTTTCTTGAACTGTTCGAATGCACACAGACCACTTCTTACAGGTTTTAGTTTCTAAGGGGAAGATTTGTTGGCACACAAGAGTAAGGCAAAGGAGGTTTACAAGTGCTTTGTACGATCAGAACAGCATAAAGTAGTCATATGTCTTCCCTAATCTTTCCCGTGTGCCTACCTAGGCTACAAAGGACCTAGTTGCTGTCAAGCAGCCAGGAAACTGTCCTGGATATTTTCTGCCTTTGTGAGACTGATTTTTTGAATTTTTTTTTTTAACTTTTCATTCTTGTTTGAATTCATAAAGAGATGCTTAATTACAACAAAGAAATTTCTGTAAGAGTTCTTTCTATGTGTAGCAAACAATTGCTAGCAGTTTGTTCAAAAGGGCCTGCAAAACCTTACTGCCATTGAATTTCCATCATGTTTCCAACGTGACAGCATGGACACATCCTATATCCCACCCCCTACAAGAATGCCTGTAGACTTCTGAATTGCAATGAACCTCCATCTGTTTCTCATTAAAAATTCCAAAACAGAGACTCAGCAGTAAAACCCTATCAGATCAAGGAGAACAGTGTCCAGCCCTTTTGTATCAACCATGCTGATTAAGCCTGGCTTTAGTTATTACTAAATGTTTACTAAAAGAGCCACCTAAAGTTCATGCAGTGACCTATGTGTAATAGTCATCTTCTTTAATTGTCCTCAGACAGATAATTGTATCAGCTAGGCATCAGCCTTGATGTGTGCGTGGCTATACTGCATTATCTCTATGGCTATCTATAAAGATAACATGTTGGAAAAATTCCCACTAAATTTTTTTTAAAAATAAAATTAATACAATTTCAAATGAAAAAAAGATTATATATATCCAGCACAGTTGACCATTTTGATTGTTGAAGTGTTAAGTTTTGAGCAAAATATCCTAATTTCTATTCCATGAAAAATATCACATTCATCCCACTAAGGTGAAAACAACATTAGAAATTTAAGATTTCCCATAGAATTAAAATTGTTAACTGCTTTTGACACTAGTGTTAAATGAATATCTAAGCTTATTTAAATCACGGTAGGAAACACCTGCTAACATTCACTTTGGCTTGAATTAGTCCTGTCATGTTTTTAAAGTTTGCCACTGAATTAAACTATCTTTTTGTCCATCTATCTTTACGTGCTCTGCATCTTTTGTGTGTGTGTGTGTGTTTGGGGGGGGAGAGGGAGGAAATAGCCAGGCAAAATGAAAATGAGCATATAAACTCCAATGGATGTCCTGAGGAAACCTCACAGCATATGATTGTTGAATCCAGACAGAAAGCTGAGGCAGACTTTAAAGATTTTCCCACCTACATAAATCATTAACAAATAATATTCAGTTTATAACCACAATCAGAAAAAAAAAAAAAAAACAAACAAAACAAAACCACGAACTTGCACTAGTACAATAGCACCTTCCTTTAACAAACCCAAAGCCTTTCTCTGGCTGACATGAGCCACCCTGCAAAATATAAGAGAGAGTCACAAGTGAAGCCTGTCTGGAGATACACCTGGGAAAGCGGGTTAAAAAACTTGACATATCTAAATTACTGTGCTCTTAGACACATAGCTGTAGGAGTGCATGAGTCAACAATATATTTTATGACTAATAACAAGCTTACTGACATATTTTAGTGCATTAATATATAAATGACCTACTTTGAACTGCCCTCTCTTGCATTCGCTGAAACTCTCATATAAATACATTTATACAAGCCTAAATACATGACCTCTCAGATTTCTCCAGGCTCCAGAAAAATCCACCTTATTATTTTTGACACTAATGTACTTTAGAAGCAGCCACCACTCTTCAAACTGCTCTGAGTTATGCAAGGTTCCCATGTTTGTACCAAACTGTTGCCACAGAAAGCTGCACCGGGCGTTCGCGTGAAAGAGACATCCCCACCTGAAATCCTTCAGACTAGAGCAGTGCAGACAAGAGGACACCCTGGCCCTCCCAGGATTTCTAGGATTTCTTCAGTGGCCTCACAGGCACATGGACTTGGAAAAGAATTGTAGAGGAAGGCAACTAGGCACTAAGGCAGTGCCATAAGCGAAGCCAATCTCTTGTCTAACGTTGGGTCGGAAGGCAGTTCTGGCTGGGACCCCTCAGCTGGGGAAATGCAGCCCGACCACAAAAGATCTGAGGAGGAGCTGGGCTGCAGAAGGACCATTCTTTCTTCCAGGAATGGAAAAATGGGAGATTATCTCTGTCAATCCAATTTAAATGCCAGAACAAAAAGATCTATATACAAAGACCGATCAGGGATGAGAAGAATGAAAAAGAAAATAATGCTTTCCATTTCCTTTTGGATGCAAACAGATTTTGTTCCTTCCAAATATACTCTACAATCTTCTTTCCAAATTTTGCCAGCAACTGGGACAGCTGCTGAGTAAGAGCCAACATGTGGCTGAGGCACATGTAGCACTCAGATTTTGAACTTCTGCCTTTCTTTTCTTTGCTTGGATAGGTAACTTTGTCTCTCTAAGCTAACACTGAAAAACACTCTCTGAAATTTAGATACCATCATTATTGCTTTTCCACTATATTTATTGTGTTCTTGGCTCATACAGGATTAATCTGGTTATTTAGACTAAGAATTCAATACCAATACAAAATTTAGGCCACTAAAATCTGCCTGTTTGGGATTTTTTTTTTTTTTTTTTTTTGAAGAGGTACAAATAAAGATCAGATTTTAATCCTGCTACTTTCAATGACAATCACACTGTGCATGTTTGCAGCACATTCACACTCACAAATAAATGGTGAGGATAGGGAATTTTATGTATGCTGGACTTACTACATTTCTTTTAACTCAAAAAACTTTATTTTTTACAAAGTAAAATTTGCTTTCATGTAAAACATGTAAAACATACAGCAGTCAAAAGTGAATGATAACTGTATAATTAGCAACATTTTGAGTAGCAGAAATTATTAGGGTTGTTTAGTATAGGAACTGCTTGAATTTCTTATGCTTTCAAAGCAAAACATGCAAAACCACATACATGCAGACATTACCTTCAGAACACAACTCTTGGACAAGATTCAACTTTTGCAGTTCTCTGTATCTGCTGCTATATATACAAGTGTTTCCCTGGATCTGACATGAAGAGAAATGCTCAAGCTCAATTGGCATTTAATTCCACTACAGGAAAGCAATAAGAAGCTAACCATGCAGTCCACGCTTAAATTCCTGAAGTCAAGTACAAAGTATTTTATTGAAACAGAAATGGAGCTAAGCATGTGTAACCTCTCTTGGTGATATAAACCTTGACAGAGCTGAACCCCATGAAGAAATGTTTATGCTCAAGTGTATTTTTTATTCAAATGTAACACATTCTTTATTCTGATATGCAATTAAATATATTTACTTACACAGCAGAAAACTTTCACAGCCATTTCCTCATCAAACTGGCCAAGGATTATCCGAACATCATTACCCTGCAGATTGAATAAAATACGTAGCAGTTAAATACAGTCACAACCTTTCCAGAAACCACTTCAGCTGGCCATTCAAATTGTGTAGAGAGTTAACACAGATTACAGCTGCAGACAGCAAAATTAATTCAGAATTTTCTAAAAGTTCAAGAACTTGAAATACTGCAAAAGAGAGCAGCTGAGGTGTTTGAAGAAAATGATTAAGGAATAACACTAATGAGAATAAAACTGTAATGTTTATCTTGTCAAATATTCAATAACACTAAAATATCAAATATTCTTTTGATCCTTTGCAATATTTCTTTCAAAATTTTGCATATTAAAACCGAATGAAAATATATGCTTTTCACTGCTTATATGAACTAATGCTCTAAAGTTGAGAGACTGAAGATTTGTAAGTGAGATAAAATGCCTTGATATTATGCTCGCTTTAGTAATTTTTAAAGGTTTTACTCATACAACATCTTCTTTACGGTCACTATAACATATTGTCAATGCCTCCTCTCCTCCTCCCTCCCACCTTCACACATTAAAAAAAATCATCACACTTTAAGAATCTATGACTGAAGTCAGAAGAGATCATTCTACTTTCGTACTTAGAAATATATTAAGAAAATATTCCTAAATTCAGGAACATATGCAGGAAAATATTTCTTCAGGAACTGGGCTAGCTTTTTTCTCATTTGAAAAATTGATGCTAACATCTATAAAACACAGAACAGATAGCTTTTTATGACTTAATATTACCTTTTATTTCACACAAAAGCTGAGTTTCCAGCAAAAGCTTGAGCAAATCTAATTTTTCATTTCTTTTATAAAGCACTTGGTTGGAATTGCTAATAGATCTTTCCCTCTCCAAGGAAAAAAGAAACAGATGATTCAGTGTGAATTTCAGTGGCGAGAAACATTTCAGTTTTAATTAAATCAATTTATCAAAGATTTTAGATAATTTCAATGTTTATTTCATGTTCAGCAGAAAATATTATGATGGACAGTGCAAAAATATACTAAAATGCTTCTGCAATTAAATGCATGAAAGTTGTATAACTCTTAGCATGGTTAAAGTTGGAAAGAACATAATACGCTTTGCTCATTCTGAACTGTGCATTTTCAGTAACCCTGCTTCTCTTTATTTTTATATTTACCCACAGACTGATAAAGTAATGTAAATCTTACTGAAGTGGATTAGATTCTTTTTAAACAAATCTAACAAGGTCACATGAAACTAAACAAACAAATTACACAAATTACAGCAAGAGTATTACAGTTTTTGTAAGGACAATAAATACATTTAAGAATTGTGCAGAAAAAAAATCCCCTTATACATTATTTCCATTTTTCACATTTTAAAAATAATTTTGGTCACTCTTGGAACTTTGACTGAATCGTTTGACCTCTCTGAACGTAACAATGCAGATTAAATATTTGAAAAAAGAGCAGCAACATTTGGTTAAAAAATAAATGACACAGCGCTCACTTATTAAACTTAAAATTGAACAAATTCCTTTTCATTTTATAATATGATGAGAACCAATTTGAAAAATACCAGAACATGGGCTGCCTCATAGTTTTAGAGCACCAGAGACTGTAGGCAGGGTGTAGAGAGTAACTCTACAGTGCATGTGCAGTAATGCTGCCCACTGGCTACGCAACGACCTTCAAACCGAAGGTGTAGTGCCTGTGGTATGTCGTACCATGCCTTAAGACATTACTTCCGCTTGATTATCCCAAAAACCAGAGTACATTTCCCACAGTGACTATTTTTTTACTGTAAAGGACTACAAGAACTTTATAGTTCATCCTATTTTTTTTCCCCAGAAATATCCTATCCCATTTCAATAACCTTACTGTCTGCGAGGATTGTCTTATACTAATATCATTGTGCAATTAGTTTGGCAATAGCACTCAGACCTAAATATTGCACATTCAGACACAGGAATATGTGGCTCTACCATTCCTTTCGTCTACAGACATGCAAGGAAAAAGGCGCTCAAGAAACTCATCTTGAAAATGTTTTTCACACAAGGCATAGCAGAGCACCCATTCTAATATTGGCAGTCAATCCTATTTTCAGACATACTCTGCTCTTTTGCAGGCACCCAAGCAAATGGTTATATTTGCTGATTTGTCCAGCTGACAGCAGATCCCATTCTGAATATCTGACCATCTCAATATCTGACTAAGGATTTCAGGAAAGCTGAATTTTCTGTCAGGCAGGAATCTCCACTTCCATCACGAACTGTGCTTCCGATGCCAGAGCAGGAAATCTGCAAAGTGTGAGAATCACATCCGAACCAAGTTCTTGAGAATCCCTGATGCTCACCTGGAAAGCTTCATGGCCCAAGTTCAAAGATCAGCTATGGCTCTAGAACTTGACAGTCCCTGATATTCTGTCATCCTTGGGATGTATGATCAAGCCAAGATGCAATACTCAAATGTTCTTTTGTCTAAATTAATGAGTTTAATAAATTACTGTTTTTGAAGCACTCAGTATGGTAAGGAGGACATTAACATGTCTGTGTTCACTAAAAGATTTGAATGGTATCCAACCACAAACTGACTGAAGAAGATCAAAAGAAATGTTCTATTACCACCTATTAAAGAATAAGCCATGAGTCCTCCATTTAACGTATTATGCCATTGAAGACTACAACAAAAGAAAGTTGAATTTTGATTTTTTTCCAAAGACTTAAAAGTTATAACCTTAATAATGTCTTTTTCCATGTCTTTTTATGTGCAATATGCTAAGAAAAAGAAGGTTTCTCTGACAGAAATATGAATCCCCAGTTCTCCCCCACATTTGTCCACGTGTTAACCCTTTGAGGGGTGGGAAAATCACAATCCACATATGCTCAGTACTGGCCAGAGGTGAATCCAAGAAGACAATGCTGAGAGTCAGTAAATAAAGTGGCTGGAGGCAGGTTCCAGTGAGAGAAAAAACAGCGCATGGGAAAGAGAGACAGATCCAATAAGGAATGTGGGTAATGAATACTTACACTTTTTAGGCAAAGACGGAGCAAACAGCTGGGGAGGTAGCAGTAGGCTTGAGACCAGTACTGAATAAGGAGCTTGGGAGGGAAAATTAGGACTTTTTTCAAGAGTATGGCAAATAGGAAGCTTGACAAATAATTACTATTAGGACAACCACAATCTCAGAAAGTAAGCTCAGAAGAAAATGGAACAATAGTCTAGACAAAGCTATTCAGAGGGAGATGAGAAATCAGAGAAGCAGAACATAGCATTGGGTAAGCAAGGAACTTCAGACTGGGATGAAGATCCAGAATGAGACAGGGATGTTGCTGGGTTAAGTGGAGAGTACGGGATCACAGGGTCAAGCTGACAGTGAATATACGGCCGAATATCTTTTTCTTTGTCCAGCCTCATGAAGTTGCATCATGAAGAATATAATATATAGCTCTAGTTGGTTAGTCATGTATGGGAAATCATAAAAGATTCCTCCTGTTTATAACCACGCAGATATCCGTACAATGCTGTGAGATGCAGTGCCTGGGGTTTTATGGCTTGTGGTTAAAAAGAGTGGAAAATTTAGCATGCAATCATGTAACCAAATAATTGTATGTTAGAACACATGTAGAAGAAAATAATTTAGGAAAGTCTGTACAATAGCTTTTCCTCTTCCACGCATAACATTTTTCCTCTGTGCAATGATGCATTCCTCAGTAAGCCTCTTTATCTCCAACTCTGCTTTTTGTGTCCCCCTCCACATCTTTCCCAAATTTGTTCCTGAAGAATTGCATTCAAGATGGTAAATAAGCCTAGATCCATTTGATGCCAGACTTGGGTCTGCTGCCTCTGTCCTGCATAAAAGACACTGAAGCTTCAAATTCATGCAACTGGACACAACTCAAATCCCTTGCAGGGGTTTTATCTGGATGGATATTGAAGTCTGCACTGAAGTTTATCAGAGCTAGGTTCATTTCAGTGCTCGCACATCAGGGTATAGGTCCACATTATAGTCTCATGCAAAGAGATACATCAGACACTTACTGGGGCATAATTTTTTTCCCCCTTCAGTCACACTATCAACCAGTATGATTTCCTGGCAAGGATATACTATTCTTTTACATCAACCCTCATGGGACTGATGTAAGTTAACACAGTGTTAACTCTCTTGTAGGGATCAAAGAAGTCACCCACTGGATCCCAGCAAGTGTCAAGTACTCTTTCTTTCTCATAGAGTTGTAAATTGCTTGCATGGAGCTAAAGTGTATTGGACAGAAGAGTTTTTAATTCATGAAACTAAGCAGGTGATCTATGAGATGATTAAAAACATCCCAGGGGGAAGGCAACTCCGAAAACTGCACTTGTATAAAAAGACCAATGTTTAGACCATTTGCCAGATGGTGAGCTGTCATATTTGCTCTTCTCAGAGTTTAGAGTAGCAATATCAGCATTTAAGCTTTGCTCCTCAGTAAGCAATACATATGTTCCCATATGGACTAAAGTTCAAACAAGAAAACGAAGAACAGTTACATTTCATTTACCCACAGTTGTAGTGGACTCCCCATAAAAACATGTTTTATAAATGAAGACTATAGCACAGCCTCAGAAATGAATGACTCTCTTGCTCCCTTCTTTCCTTCTTATAGGTGAGGATATTCAGCTACTAAATATAAAGTGTCTTTGCTACTACTGGCAGCTGAGTAGTATAAACCCTGAAGACAGTGAGGATCAAGACATCTAAGATGTTCCACTGAGGGATGAAGAACAACTTGTCTCCACTGCCGTTTCTAACAGCCTCAGATATGAGGCACTCTTTAGCCTTTTCAGAGTTTGAGTGATGCACATTATACTGGAGTAGGCAGCTATTTTTTTTTCGGCCTGCAGAGCTTCCCTTCTGTGATCAGATTTTAATCTGTCTGACTTCTAATGAATAACACCACAAAGTTGTATTACACAGCTTTCCAGAGAAGGATTGCTACAATATCTCATCTGCCAGGAAAAGTCAATGTCTTGGCAGGCTCTTTATGAAATACCTAAATCGAACAGCTCAGATACCCTGTCATATTCTCTACCATGTATCTGACAGTCAAGATGGTATCAATACATCTACTCAAAGCTGGGTAACTTTGTCAATAGAGGTATCCACATGTTCTGCCTTCTAAATGCCTGGATGTCTACTTGAAGAACTATAGATGAGCCTCTGACCTTAGCTATGGAATCAGTGATGGTGAAAGTGAACTAGAGGGTGACAGCTCCCACCATCACAACACACTGGCAAAACTTGCTGATGTCTGTGTTAGCGTGCATGTCACTCACTTAGATTGAGGCCACATTCAAACCTGTTCCTGGCTCAAAATTTTGAAATTTAATTAACTTGACTGTTAAAATGAGAGATGGTGTTCAGGCAGTATCCAAAACACCTACTGTATTTGGGAAATCAGATGAAAATGGTTTCATTGAATTGGAATTCATATATTGCAATTTTTTTGTCTTACGTGCAAGATACAAGAAAGTTGGAAGCAGAAGTGTTACTGCTCATACAATTTGCCTGTGCGTGCTTAGAATTTTTAAAATTTAAGTTGATGTACAAATGCATATCCTCCAACATCCCTTTCTCTGAACACAAAAATGAGTTTTAAAGATATCCTTAATCCTAAATTTACTTTCCAACTATGATTCAAAGAGGCTGGAGTCAATGTAGTAAAAGTTAAGGTGTTTCTGGGAAAAATATAGAACATATATTTCTGCAGATCATATGAGATATTTCTATTTTGTATTGCGTAATCATTAATTTCATTAATTTAAACTGTGTTTATGAAAAGGAAAGGTACTTTATGTCTATTTTAATTCAAGTACAGTAAGCAGATACCAGTTTACCTATATTAGGTATACATCTTGAAGAAAGGAATGAACATTTTCAGAATTAGATAGCTAAGTTGTGCCTGACATATGTACCTAAGGCCAAGTAACCCTATACTGCTGTCAAGAATAAGTGATTGTCCAGATAATTACTTATTTATTGTTGTAGTAATTTGTTTTGAAGAAGAAATCAAGACTTAACTTTAATATACTGTTTGATAGAGTCTTCTGGTCTTCTTTTCTATAAAACCTTCAGCCTAAATATACGTGCTTATATGCGTTTTTTCTTGTTATTACATCATCCATTGGTTTAAATAGCTCTGCCTTCAGAATTGTGTGCTTATATGCATTTTTTCTTGTTATTACATCATCCGTTGGTTTAAATAGCTCTGCCTTCAGAATTGTTGGTTTTCTGATGACAGGGGTTAAAGACCTTGTCAAAAATGTGGACTTTACTGATAACACATACTGGAGTCTTTTCAACCCCAGATAGGAAATGCAAACTGGTTAGACTGGACAGACACAAATGGCTTCCTATAAACGTAATCTTTACCTATTTATACTTTAAACATTCAGGCTTGCATTGCTAGAGTGTGGGAATAATAAAGCACACTTAGTTTACCATGCTTCAGACCTTTTCCAGTTAGCTTCAGTAGTAGCCTAGTCTTATACAGGTGGATATCCTTGCTTTAATTTTAGTTTTTTAATACCATTCAGTTTATTAGGGTGTTTTACACATATTTAAGTATTTGCAGGATTGTGGCTTTGATAGGCTGTCATACGTATTTGATGCCAGCAACGATTTGATCTTCATCATTCTTCACCATTCTCTTGCTTCATCTTTTCATGTTCGTATGCAGTTTAAGATTCGTATCTCCTATGTCTAGTTTATTGTCGGTTGCACTGCATGGTAATGCTAAAATAAATAATGCTAAAATTCTATGAGATGCCAGGAACCTAATAAATCATTATAGTAAGAGAAGGATGGCAAATTATTCTGCTATCAAATTTATTTTTCCTTTTTTTTCCTGTGATTCATATGAAATAATGCAGATGATCATAAGCAAAGAATTCAATCTAAAATGTGTGATGAAGCTAATGGAAAGATGCTCAACGCTTTTGCTACATGATAATTTACCTTAAAAGCGTTCTGGTTCCAAACCTCAAGAGCTTTAACACATATATCACTAAGGTTGGTGCTTTAGGTACAAATATTAAGCCAGCAACAACTTGCTTTACTTTGTGTCCTTACCAGGAACTATAAAAATATTTACGATATGCATGGAGATTCATTGACTCAAGCAGGTCTAGGCCCTCAAAATGCCATTTGTTAACCTTACTATGCAACAGGATGTAGTAGTATACCATTCTTATGCAAATTTTGTTTTATTAGCCTTCTTCATAGGAAAAAAAAAAAATTAAATCAAATGCCATGACATAATCATCACTTTCTCTTTATTCCTCAAACAGCAGCACATACCTTAAGCTTCTTTACACTCGTGCAAGGATCATTGGAGAAACTCTCAGTATCTGAAATTTCGATGTCTTCACCATACAGGACGCCAGTCAGATCATTCCTCACCTGTCAGAAGTTGAGAAAATGCAAACTATTGAACTGAGACTCAGTGGGGAGGAAGCAGATGGACTATATTTATCACTATAATGACAAGCAATGATCTCGACCGTGATATACGCACCCACCTTTTTTTTTTCCGTTTTGCCTAAAATCTGATCAAGACACTATTCTTTTACCACCATAATCTTCTATCAATCTCGACCATGATATACGCACCCACCTTTTTTTTTTTCCGTTTTGCCTAAAATCTGATCAAGACACTATTCTTTTACCACCATAATCTTCTATCAACGGGTGTACTATGTAAAGAGCTTTACTATGTGTGACAAAAAGATCACGGTGGGCTCCCACTTCGCATCACGGGGATGGACAACTCTTGTGTATTTCCAGTGCTGTTAAGACCAAAACCTTTCTTGTAGCCAAAGTGATGTTCAAGACTGTACAAAGGGAAAAGACTCATCAGGGAAACTCTTACATGTTCTCAGTGCTGAGGGTGATTTGAAACAACCGTCAGCCAGTCCTAGCATGAATCAGCAGAGCTTAGCTTATGTCATTTAGGGATTGGTAAAGCTTCATGAACTCCTCTGTGCCCTCCCCCTTTCTGAGAGCGTGCATCTCGCTGCATGGGGCAGCGAGTGGTATGATTTGTTTAAAGGTGACACAAGCAACTTTCTATCAACAGGTTTTCTCACCTGTTTTTTATAGCGGCAAGACTCTGTCCTCTTTGAGCTGCCTAATAGCACAAAGAAGCCAGATAACATACAAAGCAATCTGGCTTACAGATTTAGGGTTTTTTTTTTCCATATAACTACTTCAAGGTTTTCTGTCTTAATCACTGCTGATTTTCCTCCAGCCCATGACTGCAAAAACAGAGTTTCACATTACTATTCCTAATAGATGAGCAAAAATAATTTTAGCTGGAGATAACATGGTTACAGACTGAAATGTAGAGAGTGGCACTCCAATTTTAATTTAATAAAATTATGATCACATTCATTGCACTGATTGTCTCGTTTGTTATATCAGAAATAGGGGAAGCAAATCACAGTGTAAAACAGGTATCTCAAATGCAAACAGAGAAAATACAATACATGGAAGAGAAATATATGTGATATTAAACAGGAAAATTTAGAAGTGTAAAAATCATAGTCAGATACTTTCCAATGACCCTCTCTATGGGTCGTCGGAATGACACATTTGAAATCTCCCTCCTAACTCTCCTTTTCCTTGACCTCCTTTGAGAGAGAAGCACAGCTCATTCAAAACAATCTGCAAATATTTGATACACAGTGACATGGTCAAGTAAAGAAAAGGAAGTGGTATCTGTCCTTCAGGAGTAGAACCTTCTTCATTTGAATTGAAATAACCATAAAGTTTATATAATGAGATGACATTTTTTCCGTGCAAAAATAAGACCCAGCTATTGCTAAATTTCCTGTGCTGAGTCTGTCACACTCATGCGTAAGTATACAGCAAAAGCAAGGGGATGCACTGAGACATGAAAGGTCACAGGTGAGACTTCTGAGTTCTGCTGGCAGCTTTGCTTTCAAGACAAACTTGTCTCTTCAGTAATCCTTCAGCCTTTCTTCAATATATATTCCTGAGTATCCTCCCAATCTCTGCATGTTAGTGGTTCTGCTGGGTGTATTTCATGCTTTCATGCTTACCATGCAAATAATTTTTTTTTTTTTTTTGGTATGCTGCTTAACTGTTAGATAGAAACACAGTTTTTGGTAAAAAAGAGGAATGTTAAAACTATCTTTGTGGTTTTGCAAATTTCGTCATGACAAAGAAGCATAATCTGGTTTCTGCAATGTAGAAATTGCATTAATTGATCCTCAAACAGCATTCCACCTTTTTGTTGTTCCCTTTCAGCTGGTTTTGCCAAGTTTCTTGGTTGACCAGTGAAGTGTTTCCTGAAGATCATTACTACACCGGCTGCCTTAATTACTTCTTTCATGGCCTCTGCTTCACCTTATTCCTTTTAGCCATGCTTTAAAATTATTAAGACATATTTTTACATTATAACCTTTTACAATGATTAAAACAAGTGGATGTATAGGTAATTTTTTTATTTAAAATTATTTTATTTTACAGAAGCAACAGTCAGAATGTCAGTCCACCAAGATCTGAGTTATACCCTTCATCCTTTTGTGATGTTATAACCAGTTTTTAAGAGCATTCTGTGAAAATGTATTCACTGACAAAAAATGATCAGTAGTGACTCCTTTTTCTGCTAGTATACTAATAAAATGAAAGATTGATATTTTAGTTCCAACATTGCCATTAACTGCTCCTTATGATACAGGTCTTTCTCAATAGAAAGAAAAATCGTTTTTCTGAAACAAACTGTCAGGGATAACAAAAGAAAATAGACCTCTCTTGCTCGTAGTTTAGCTAATGTTCAAAATCTTCTACCCAGTATAAAAGTTCACTAAAACTATCATACGTTATCTAGAAAAAGTAAAATTTTCCTTAGCTAACAGAACTGTGCTTTCCAAAGGCATACAACTTGTCATATGCTTCTACCCATACTGTCCTACCTTCTTCTGTAAAAAAAGAAATTTTTTAGTTGCAGGTTTGCTTTTCTGATATTTTCTTAATTTTTTTTCTGGAGCCATTTCTAGTCATTTTTTTAATCTCAGGGAGACTAGATTAACATTACTCAGTTGATCTGAGTGGAAAACAGCTGATTCACCAAATACAGTTTAGTCAAATTAGACCATTATTAACATGAGAAAAATGATAAAAAATACACGTTAAATAGTATTAAAATAGACTAACTCTTATAGATAGGCTTCAGTGGAGGGCACAAGGCTGACATTTGATTAGACTGCAGACTGTCTAGTGGCTTGTTGTGATTCCTTCCCTTCAGAACTTGTTCATGAACTTTGCAATTGAGGTATTCAATTGCATATTTTTTTTTTTTTTCTGAGCAACATTTATTTAAATTCAGCCACTGAGAAATTTCTCTGATACCCCCCTGCCCCATCTGTTAGAAGTCCACTACTCTCTGGCTTTCAGAGCTCTTAGACTTTTCTTTGAACTACTGATTAACCTCCCAAAAGACACACCTTATTAGATTTGGTGCCAGAGAAGTTGGAAGTCTTTTCTCTTCATTGCCACAATCAGATATTGGATGCTTTTCAGATGCATCTGTTGTGGAGATTTTGCCAAAAGAAAGGTGTTTCTTTCCCACTATCACAACAAGATATTAGGAGCTTTATAACAATTTACAAGGTTTACATTGTTTTTCTAGAACACTTAATGGGTTTTTTTCCCCCTTTCAATTCTATGACCACTAGTCTGACAATCTCATCTTGTGCCTGGTCTGGGGGTATTTCCACTACATTTTCCAGTCTTTGTTTCCTATTTCCACACTTTTTTGTCACCATCCTCAGGTTCTTTTCTTTCTTTCTAAATATTCTAAATATCTCACAGAATTGAAACTTGTATTTGTCTTCCTACAGTTCTTCACTTCTTTCAAATAAATTTAACTACAGAATCTTTTGATTTGGATTTAGGTCCAATGTCAGAACTCGCAAAGCCTCACCTCCAGTTATAGAACTGCCAATTCCTGTAGCAAATGTTGCAATTTTGGATTAAATTTGTAAAACTCAGAATACAAAATGCTGCATGTTTTATTTTAGCAGATGCTTGCAGTCCTGGAAAGCGTATCACCAGCAGTACAAGCAGTTTTAGAGCTCAGCAGTAATTGTTTCTTTCCACCAACTCTGAGTAAAGAAAATTGCAAAATACTGTACTTCTGCTTCTTTATTGTGTAGAATAGGATAATTTTGACTGGAGAAAACTGCTGTAGAAAATTGTAACAAAACTGCATTAAACCTTGGTGGGGATCTGCAGTTCCTAAGTAAATTTTGCACTGACCTACAATACAGAAGTAGTATAATCCCTTGTTAACAATTTAATGAAGGTTATGGCTCTATGTCTGTTTATATAAATTTTACGCACTTTAAAGACACCAATATTTCATTTTTCCAAAACAGGGATAACCAGACCTGATCATCAATAAACCTGGAAGGTTTCATGAATCACTGCTTAGAGAACGTAGTCCTTCACTCACAGAAAAAAAAAAAAGCACTTTTACACTGTTCTTCATACAAAGCTGGATGAAATCAGTATTTCACCATACTACATATTTAATAGATTTATGTGTGGTCAACTCCAAAAATTACTGGGGTGCAAAAATGTTTACCCAGCAGCAAGCTCCAAAAAATGAAGGGTTTATATCATGTGTAAGGGACACATTTGCTGGAAGAAAAGGATGGCCCTTGTGCTTGAGGCAATGGACAGGACACAAGAGAACTGTCTTTTATCCCTCATTCTGCCAGAGCTGCTCTGTGATACAGCTCATATGACCTAAATAAGATTTTGAAGTTTGCTACCAAGTCTGGCTGTATCTTTTTTCTGTGAAGTGGATGGCAGCAATACTTGCCTACCTCATAGTTGTGGTATCAAATTCAATGATGTTTGAGAGGCAAACAACACAGTCCCTGACCCTGCACCTGTGAAGGAAGAAATAAAGGGGTTTTGAGGAGCCAAGAACTTGCACTGCCAAGGAAGAAATTAATTTCTTTAATCTCCAGCAAATTGAGGAGTAGACAGAATGACTACATAGATGTAAGAAAAATATGAGTCTAGACGGGACCAAATTACAACACTCCTGTGGTCTGTATCAGGATGGACGGATTTAGGTTTTAGGAAAGGAAGTGAATGTTGGGGAGCGGCAGGGGCCGGCTCCTCCCTACGGAAGGGGGATGCGTGTGCAATTACACAGCCCCCGGACCAGGGACCTCACCAGCCAGCGCCCCAGTGAGGGGAGCCTGGACAGGCTCAGGGAAAACAGCCAGATTCAGCCACGAGGCTAGACCTCCAGGCAAGTTCACAGCCATAAGGCAGGTCCAGAGTAAAGCTGGGAAGTCCATCCATGAGTCAGGGACAGAATCGGGTCTGGTGAGAATAACCAGGGTGAGACACAGCCCCGT